TATGTGGTTTTATTTTTTATGACGTCCCGTTATGACTACCTGTACTCGAATGATGTATTATCGTCCCACGAATAGATATTTACCCATTATCAATCGATTCAACGCCACTATGAAATTGCTATCACGATAGACCTTAGATAATTTCCGTACTTGGAGTTTAGGACAGTGTCCGGTATCTGTTGTTGAAGTGAACATCGTGATAGTGTTTTAACGATTATGATAAACAGGTGACAGGATGACCAATTGGGCTTTTGGTGAATCCTATCATATCACCGGTGGTGTGAATTGTAAATCCCATGACATTATTAGATTTTCCTTCGACCTGTGTACAGCACAAAATGACGCCGTCTTTTCACCTGGCACTGGTTATTCTGCCGTACGGTAAGTATAAAACTTGATTCTTTTAATGTGGTGGCACATATATTAAATTATGCATCCTTAACGTAGTAATGTTTATTTTTACCGTGTAGTGCAGATAGTACAAGTGTTTCTTTTAAAGTTCATTTTGGCTGGTGTTGATTTTTAGATGTTACTCGTGCGGCGTTCGTATTATTTCAGGCCCGTAGCCAGGGGGGGTTCGGGGGGTTCGAAAGATTTTCCCCTTTTGCTGGGAAAGGTCAACTCTGGGTAAAATTTTATCTTGGTACATGAGGTTTTTATGGGAAAAGGTCCACTTTTTCAGAAAAAGAACCCCCCTTTTGAAATTGCTGGCTACGGGACTGTATTTAATATATTCTCAACCTAACTCTGTTTGCTTACTAGGACCTTGCATTGCACATGTAATATATAATGTGCACCCTAGCCTTTCTAAAAAAGTAGTCTTGTTGTAAACTTATACCTTGGTCTTATTCAGTTGGGGTTAGAAAATCATAGATACCTGATCTGAAAAGGCATGCCCAATTCCTCAATCTAATTATTTGGGATTCGTTTAATCTCATCACTCGTATAAAGAATCTTCATTCGTATAATTTAACAGAAGAATATACAAATTAGGCCAATCCTATTATGTGTCAAACGAATACATGTACTGCAAGGGCGTTTTCCGTCGTTACAGTTACTCGGTGCACTTTTGATATTTGTTTAATAACACATTGACTGATTTAATTATCAAGTGTTAATTGACGTAAACATGGTGACGATGTAAACCGAGACCCTAAACCACAGCAGCATGCTGTAAGCTTTGGGCACGCCACCAATATTCCATGATATTGAAGGTCCAGTTACTAACATATGCTAATGGTTCTCATGTCCAGTGGCAGGTCAGCTGTGTCCAGCAGGATGGGTAAGCAGTCCCGTCAGTGATCACTGTTTCCAGTTCAACCCTAGCAAAATGCGTAGAAAGTGGCACGAAGCCAGGAAATCCTGCCAAGCCAGACTAGGAGATTTGGCATGGTTTGAAAATGTGAATGAAAAGGTAGATTTATAACGGATGCATAAGACTGGGTTCCCATGCCTACATCGATCGAACAGGATCAATCCATCTCCAAGGGGTTTCTCACTAAATTGCTTTCAGCTCAAGCGGCTTAGATGTCTGACACTCCTACTGAAGCTGCTAAACAACAATTAATTATCCCTAGCAGCTTCAGTATAGGCGTGACAGACATTTAAGCCGCTTTGGTTGATTGCAATTTAGCGAGAATCCCCTCTGAGATAGATCGGTACATAAATATAAACTGGGTTTCCATACCTAGATCGATCCATCTGGATCGGTCTAACTCCCTGGGGAGTCTCACTAAATTGCTATCAACTTAACCGGCGTAAATGTCTGTCACGCCTACCGAGTCAGCTAGGGGATAAAGATAATTACCCCCTAAGAGCTTTACTAGGTATTGTGCGTAATTATTGTACCAAAGATAACCTCGAATTTTACACCATACATAAATTTAATTTTTTTCTCGACCAAAAATGCTTTCAGAATTTTGTTTTGAAAACGTCCGAACGTTTAAGTCAAACAGACCCCGAGAACCACAGGTGGTGGATAGGATTGACGGATGAAGAGAAGGAGGGAACGTGGAAGTGGGTCAAAGAAGAAAATCCAGCATTGAAAATGTTTGTAAATTTAATGGGCTTCGTTTTTCGCATTATCTTAACATCGTGTTTGTTTTAATCAATTCGTTACCTGTTTTAAATGTTGACAGATTTGAATTGTTTGAGGTTTTTACCAGTGACCCATGCAGTTATAAACAAAGTCTTATTTAATTCAAATCATATTGCAATGGTGACGTTACTGTATTGTCATTTGATTAATTTTTTCGTCTTGAAGTTAAAATGCTATACCGTTCAATTTAATTATATGTTAATTAGCAAAAAGTATAGGTATGAAGTAACTCACATACATATTTGGTTTATGTTCCAATTGTGCAGTGACTGGGCTGAACAAGAACCGAATGATAATGGAAAAGGCGAACAGAACTGTGCTGAAATGTGGGTAAAACGAAACGGCACTTACCTGGGAGAGCTACGTGATGCAAATTGCTTCATTGCAAAACCGTACATCTGCAAGAGACAGAAAGGTATTTCTTTAGCAAAACGTTTTAACGAAGATTTTGTACTCTGAATATGAATGAAGTAAACAGTACTTAAAGCATGCATTTGTATTTGTGATATTTCACATCATTTGTGGAATTTCTTCCCAGAAAAGAGGAATGCTACTCCTAGGAACGGAAGTCCGGAGCCCCATATCATAAATGCAGGTTGGGTTAGTTAGAGTATTGGGTTAGTATATGGGACAAATGCTACCTGTACAAAGTAATGGGGAACGGACTACGAGTATGGTTCTTAGTGGACTACCATTTCTGTCACACCGGTGTAACGAAACTGAGGGTCCTTGTAACAGAAAGTTCGCCCTCTATTTAGATTTAATGGTAAGGGTTAGCCCGACATACGTGGGTCAAAATCATGGGCGCAAGTTACCTGTACAAATGAATGGGAAGCGGACTCTCTGTCATGGGGGACTCTCTGTCACGTAACACCGGCATACTGAGCACAGTCTATTACATTTCAGCCGTGGTGGACAACTGCCCAACTGGTTGGCAACAAGTCCAAGACTCGTGCTACATTTACTTTGACCTCGAAAGGGAATGGAAAACTGCTGAGTAGGTTATAATATTATTTTGAGATGATTTTATTACAATTGTACTGGACATGTTATGAATCGTAAATTATGGAGATGACAATTATAAAGACACCGGCAGAGGAATAATGTTGGTGAGTGTCACTGGTGTCACATGGTGGTTGATATAAGGTAGCAAAGATGATAAATATGTAAAAACGATATAATATCGTTATGGTTTATCGTAAGATAATAGGCTTAGATAAGGCCTTAGATATTGTTGAAATCATATCAATATAATGACAGTTGCATTATTTTTTATGTTTATGACGTAATGACAGTGCATTGTATTTGTATATTCTTATCTTCATCTTTGTGATTCAAATTCTCAGGGCTGATTTACTTTCTCCAGTTTGAGTAAGGCACCATGTCATTAGAAAAATTCATATCGCACTGTATTATTATTATTATAATTATTATTAGTATTATTATTATTATTATTCAATAATCTTCAACCCATGAAGAGTTGGATATATTTTTTTCTTGCCCTTGACACTACAACAGCGCTCGGTTTGCCTTTAATTTAACATTCCCTTACTAAATGTTACTAAATCAATCTACATGCCTTTTCTTTAAACATTTATGCAATTATCTTTAAAAGTATCGTCCTCGGACGTTTTTTGCAAACTTCATGGTGAATTATGAATACAACTTTATTCTATTTGCCACACCTGTAAGTATCATAATATGTGCCTTGATCTATGACATCCCCTATTAAATAACACATGCCAAACACACAAACTGGCAGCTCGCCTGTAAATAAATTGGCCAATTAACATGCTCATTATGCTCATGCTCATTAACAATGCAAAGACCCAATTGGGATGTGGTCTAGGCCAGTGAGTAATCTGGCCTGTGACACACACACACATACACACACTCACACACACACGCACGCACACACAATGTTTTTCTATAATCTGTTCCCCGAACTCTGCAATAACAATTTGGTTCTTTTTTCATTGAATTCTATTTTTTATCCTAACTCTAGAGCCGATTGCGGCAATTATGGTGCAGAATTAGCCACGGTGGATAACGCTGTACAGCAGCAGTATATCTACGATGTTTCCCGCTTCAGAAATAAGCCCGTTTGGATTGGTTATTCTTTGGACATTAATTCTGTAAGTACTTCTGATCATGTAATGGCAGTTTGCTCGCCTACACCTTTTCGACAATACCAACAGCAGTTAGACTTTATAGGGTAAGATATATCCTACAATCTATCATTTTCATGTAGTTGATAATCCATTTCTAATTTTTAAACTTACTTCATTATTTCGTACATACAATTTTTGCTCTTATAGACTGACATGCAGTGGAAGAAAAGCGGTGTTGGATTGGATCCAGTAGTTAACGGTAATCAATCCGACTCGGAGTTTTGGTCAGATGGACGTAGACCACAAGCTATGGGGTTTGTATTCTCTTAATGCATGGAGAGATTGAGATACCTAATACTTTGCAATCTCTATGGGCAAATTTTACACCCTTTGTAATTCATGCTGACGGGACTTCGTAAAGCTAACCATGGGACTAATTCACTACACTAGATTTGAATATCCGATAGCTCACAATTTCAAAGTGGCCAAAAAATTAATTGCATTTGATTTCTTAACAAAACCTAACAAGATGATACCTTGCATCGTGATTTAGCTCCCAAAAAGCCTTAATGTTGTGCGAACAACTTGTTTGAACATTGTATTTCTTAATTTAAGAAGTCATATTTACGATGTATAGAATACAAAAATTCGCATCACTCTTATTACAGAGATACAAGAGAAGGCATGTGTGCAGAGGTGGTTCCAACAGCGGAAGAGGCCGAGCAATCGTGGGTTGCAAACCTGTGCACTACAGAAAGATCATATATTTGTAAAAAACGTGAAGGTGAATGATGCAGCAGTGGAATAGTTATGTTAACAGGATGTTTTACAATGTTAACGAAATTGTTGCTTTTATTTTTGTCGTAATGAGAAAGCGTGTACAGCAGGTCATATGATACTGTTTTATTTTACTACCTTGCTTCAGAATAAACTTTAATTCCGTGTATACAGAAAATCTCATGAAAAACTTTGAGGCAAATAATCTCATCCAACAATACTCCCCTTTTCCTTATTTTTATATATTTTACTTGATCTATTCAACCTGTTTAATTGTTTGTCATTTTTTCTATCTAATATCATTTCATTCATTCATTTATTCATTTATTCATTGTTCATGCTTTTGACGACCAAAACTGTAAATGTTAAAGACATATGTGTACGTCTGTTTTCCCGGATTATACTTGACTGTTCTTCCTTAAGGAACATGTGCAACGGGCTGGGTTGCTCACAACAGCACGTGCTACCAATTTAATGCCAACCTCCAGCTATCCTGGTATGATGCTGCCACCTATTGTAGATCGCAGGGAGCAGAAATGGTTACTATACAGAGGTAAGGAAGTTGAAAACTTTTGCCTTGGTACATGAAGAACCAAGGGGGGGGGGGGGGTATAACATGTTAGCCATTTCCTTCTCCCAGTCCTTCATTGGCTACTTCTCTCTTTTCTTCGGACTCTAGATGGGTGCCACAGGCTGTACTGTACATCTACACTGTTTGCATGTGTTGTAAGCTTGTAATAGTTGTCCCTTCTTTCAAGCATTTTTATTAAATGTCCAAACTTCAGTTCAGAATAATACATCAATGGTTATAGTGTATTAAGTTATCAGTTATTATTAGAGCAAAACTGAGTAAACAAATGTAGAATCGAATGTGGCCAGACCAAGTTATATTCTGTTTAAGTGGTGATGAGACATAGTGTAATGCTATTCTGGAAAACACTTTCTAATATTACTGCACAGTATAAAGGTGTCTCGCTTTTCATTGACTGACTCTAATCCATTCTTCATTTATATATATATATATATATATATATATATATATATATATATATATATATTTTTTTTTTTTTTTTTTTTTTTTTTTTTTTTTTTTGTCAATGAGCTGCTTTAAAACTGATGTCACCTATTAAAATTACTGTAATTTTACATGTAGTCGCTTTTGTTATAGTAAAAGAACGCAGAACTTCATCGAAGATAAAGTTCGGGATATGGGATTCCAGACGGAGATTTGGCTTGGGGGCTCGGGTAAGTAATGGTGGTATGAATTTACCAGAAATGATGAAGCAAGTGTTTATGCATGGCGGTACTGTGTGTGTGTTGTGTTGAAAACATTTTTAAAGGCCGTTTGCCCAGTGTGACAACTTATTTAAACCCATGCTGCCATACATCCTTAACCAAACTGGCGACATATTACGTAGTGCTTTGAGAACGTACAGGCTACAATTTCCCTCTAGTTTTATGTGGGCCAGGTCAACCACATTTAAAAGAATCTTCTTCTCTAAACCTCATAGTACATGTAAAGTTGTTCCTATTATAAATAAGGACCGAGTTGAGAATTAAAGAAATGCCGTCGAGCATTCAGCAACCGTTACCTGTACTCAGTTTGTAAAATACCCAAGTATACAATGGGCAGAGTGTATATTATGAATCTGCACTACATACATATGAACAAGTGTCACAAACTTCGAGTAAACAGTTGAATCGAAGACAAAATTCAATAAAACTAAAATTTCCACCTAATACTTAATGCATTATCTCCAACCTGCACAATTAATAATAAAATGTTTATACTGGCTTTATATTTTTACTCAGCAGCTAACTTTCAAGCAGCTCTAATTGGGAAACTACATGTTAACATTTGCGAGACATATCAAATTCTATGCTTCTGGTTTCTACATTTCGCAAATATAATATCAGCAAATACGCCGTAATTCAACGTTTCAGATATTGATCTTAATCCCAAAGAATTGCACTGGGCTGATGGGACGAAGATAACGGAAGCGTACTCTAACTGGGAACCGGCACAACCGAAGAAGAGCTCTAAATCTCTGTGTGTACAGATGCGGGCAGGTAATAAATCATAAGTTTTTATGGCTTTTTAAAAACTAATTAAGACTGCTAATCTGGAGAGCTGAATACTTGATATGGTCTTGACTGTAAAGTAATTCATTCGCATAAAGTAAGCGGTGTATTTACTGTCCAAAAGTCTGTAATATTGATGTACGTTTCAACGATTTAAACGTGTTCGTGTGTTTTGTGTTTTGTATAGATGATAGAAAGTGGACCACCAGCGAGCACTGTCTGCACGAACAGCAATTTATTTGCCAGGTTTCAGATGACAGAGTTGTCTTTCCACCAACGGTTCTCCCAGGTTAGTTCATTAAAATTTCGAAAACTGTCATTCGTACTAATAAAAATCTCACTTGTTTAAAAAGCCAGTAGTCAACTTTTTCAAAGGTATTGTAACAGTGAAAAATCTATGTTGATACTGTCAAAATGTTATTTCTGAATGAAGCCAACGGTACGTGCGATTCCGGCTGGGAAGGACACGGCTTTTCTTGTTACTACTATGCAAACACTGCTTCGTCTTCCTGGCTGAGTGCACGAGACGCGTGTCTTAAGATGGGAGCACATCTTGTGAAAATTGATAATGCAAGGGAGATGGCCTTTATTCAAAGTGAGTATTTTTGCGGACACACACACACACGCATGAACAAACACACACACTCTCACACACACACACACTCCGTATGTGCATTAGCTACTCACCGATGTGCAGATACCCGTTTAATCAACGTCTGGTGTTTACATACAGTTTTGATAGAGAAGTAACCTGTTGAAATGTTTCTACTGTTTCTAAAAGCAACACAACAATAAGTGATACTGACAAGCATAAAATAGGAAAACCATAAAACCTTCAAGGTATTACGCTTATATATGTCCTGCCTACCCCATTTTTTCTCTTTTTATATGACAACATGCATTCGTGTATAGATACTGCTGAAAATTTAAACACCAGCCGATTTCCATGAAAACAAATTCAAGGCATATTAATTATCCATTATTTGTAAACTATTTTCACGTTACACTATATGTGACAAAAAAACGTCCAATTTTTTTTTAGAAAAACTTACGGAGTCTTCTTGGCTTGGCCTCAATGACCGTGGGATCCAGGACCATTGGGTATGGCAAGACCAGGAGTCGGTAAGTCGTCAACAAGCACGTGTTCATTACTATGAAAATACATACCTAGGGATGTTATATGACCGTGGCGATATGATGATCACTGAAGCCTGTCCATTTAGCCAAGCTTCAGTGAAGATCGAGAGCAACCTCGAGCCGCTACCCAAAAATATCTCGCTTCACTCGACATTTCTGCGTAGCGTCTCTCGGAAAACTCGGATTTAACCTCGATGTAGTCTAGAATTTCACGACTACATCTTGGTTAAATCAGTCGAGGTCTCTTAAATGCTGAAAGCCAAAGACAGAGTGATCATGTGACCATCTTGGCATCAAGAGAATAGTGACGTTGCTTGCGTTATACACCTACCATTAGACAAATTTAAAATGTCTCACACTCTTAAAAAATTAGCATAAACTTTAACTTTTAACAATTATTATTTATAATTTTATTACACTAAGTCATATCATATGGGTATGGTTTGAAAACGGAAATTCGTTTATATTTAAGCCACACGTGCATACATGTACAAATTATTTGTAAATCTATAACTTTTTAACGAGGGTTGTGCTATTTANATGTGACCATCTTGGCATCAAGAGAATAGTGACGTTGCTTGCGTTATACACCTACCATTAGACAAATTTAAAATGTCTCACACTCTTAAAAAATTAGCATAAACTTTAACTTTTAACAATTATTATTTATAATTTTATTACACTAAGTCATATCATATGGGTATGGTTTGAAAACGGAAATTCGTTTATATTTAAGCCACACGTGCATACATGTACAAATTATTTGTAAATCTATAACTTTTTAACGAGGGTTGTGCTATTTACCTTTTGTTTTTTAGCTTTTCATTCTTCTTCTTTATCAGATATATCGGTAAAAATGAAATATATTCCCCTTTGAAATTGTAATTACATGTAGCACATGTATATTCCGAACCGCCTCGTAGTAAGAAATGTCACCAAAACGTAGAATTGTTACTCCTGAGGATTTGAAATACACATCCGTTTGATTTTGACTATATTCCGTAACCGCCTCGTCGTCAGAAATAACAATAAAAACTAGAATTATTATTCCCGTGAACTTGTAACAAACATCCGTCTGATTTTGACCATATTCCGAAACTGCCTCGTTGCCAGAAATATCACCAAAAAGTAAATCTCTTTCTCCTTTGCACTTGTGAAAAATTATATTCCGGTCCGACGCTCCTTGTTTATCAGAAATGTCACTCAAAGGTAGAAGTTTTGCCTTGGGACCTTTTTTCCTCAGCAGTCCCAGCTAGGTGTGGCTCAGCTGAGACGCGCATGGTCAGTGTCGACGGTTGATTAAATACTTTTCAAGCCAGTTGAACGTCCACGACAAGTATTTAGCAAAAATTGACCAAATTGGTCAAACATTACATAAGAATTTGGCGGGAGGTGACCAGCGCACGTGGACGAGTTTATTCCGTATAACATCTCTAGAGCGTGATTTAGGGTCACTTTATTCGATTTTAGGGGTGTTTTAGGATGAAATGACTATGTTTGTTCTCGGTAGGTATGTCAAATAATACACTGTCACCCTCTCGCGATATATGCCATGAACACCTCTCGCTGACGCTCGAGGTGTTATGGCATATATCGCTCGGGTGACAGTGTATTATCTCACACATGGTATTTGTGCAATGTTGATTTAAAAAAACACAGGCCATGAGTTATCAGCACAACACGGCAGTCAAAAGCTGATGTTGGAAATTTACGTCACTAAAAATTGATTACTCAGAATTTTCTCATCAAAGTGCCCCTTTTCTAACTTACAATTTTTTTAATTGTATTTTTCATCTACTATATTGATATTGTACAACTAGTAAAAATTTAATCCATTTTGAGTACACGAGACTTTGAAGTATTATATGTAATTGTTATCCTACATTTAATGTGCAAATGCCACCTACTTCTGTTCGCTTTTGTTGATTTTTTATATGTTAATTAGAAACGTTTTAGGTAAAGCCCTATAATTTGCACATCATTGTTTTTTCATTTTTCGCCAAATGTTTGTAAATATTACTATACAGCCTATGTATGTACTACGTTCGCCATGTATGTACTAAGTTTGCCTCAATTACCTGCATTTATTTCAGATCACACTTAACGTAAGTGTAACATAAGGTGGTGCCCATTAAACCTGTGTAACGACAACAAACCGAATGAATCCCTTAACATCTCCCCAGGTTTATTTTACACCACAACTACCACAAACAGTTAAAGCCTATTCCGTATGTTTCAGGCAATGTACACTAACTGGGCCCTAGGAAAACCAGAGCATTCCGGGGAAACATTTGGCAAGCACTGCGCCGTTGTACTGACCGGTGATGCCAAGGGTTTGTGGTCCAACGTGGAGTGCAGTCAAGAGAGGGCATACATATGTGAGAAAAAGACAGGTGAGGTGTCGTAGTTACACTCTGCAATTTTTTTTCTGTGAGGGTTTTATACTTATCTTCTTACTTATACTTATCTTACATCACATTAGGCACGTTATATATTTTCAAGGTGATATCAAATTTTAGTCAACATTATTTCTAACTGGTTAAATGCTCTCAATTAATGGAAATGTGTAAAAAGGAAATACTGTTTCAAAATATTCTCAAGAAACGTATTTTGTGTTTTTTTCAGGGCTTGCAACAACTCCAGGAGGCACATCTCTTATTCGTAAGACATATTTAAATCACTTAATCAGGATTTCTAGTTTATCAAAGGGATTTTATTATAATATTCAGCAGTTCCCTGAATCGAATATGCTATTTGCGTGAAAAGTAATTTGTACAAGCTTAGGAATTTCTGTTCATACCATGCAGGATAATTTTCAAATTACAAATATCTCTTTGTCTGTGAATATCAGTCATGCTCTTTTTTCCTGGATAACAAAATAATTCCAGCTTTAGCTTCTATCAAGTGCGGCTTATTTTGGGAAGACGATCCCCTTAGTGACTTTTGTTACCAATTTAACACAAACACGTTGTCTTGGTCCGAGGCCCTGCTCCAGTGTCAACATAATGGTGGAGAACTGGCCAGTGTGGCAAGCCTGGAGGAGCAACAATATGTAGCTGGTACGTAGGTTTGACAGGCAGTGAGTGTGTCTAGTCTTTGAATATATTGCTTTATGCCAAATCTTGAAACCGATCTTAAAATGTTCGTTAGTGTGTTTGATAAAACATTAATTATAGAAGATTCATCGACGGACGTATTTTTAAAATTCAATTTGTAATGTTATCTAACAAGCTGTAAAACAATAAATGCGCCAAGAGCAGATCCAGCACTTAATTAGGACACATTAAGATAAATAGTTGTTGGTTTTCTGCATGGTCTATGACTCATTTATCGTTCTCTGTTCTAATACATTTTAAATAAAAATATAATGATCAATCACTCTGTAATACCACCTACATGCAAGTAAAACTTCGTCCTAGGCCGTGCACACACCATCCCAGACATGAGGTATTTCTGGCTTGGTGCCAGCGCTCTGGGAGAGGAGGACGGTTGGATTTGGAGTGACGGAAATCCATTTGCCTTTCTCAACTGGGGTGCAGGTCAGAATTTAACTATATCTATCTATCTATCTATCTATCTATCTATTTACCTTACCACCTGTCCGATCGTCAGTCCGTGGGTACATATATCTGTCCCAGTGTCTGCCACCCCCTCTCTCTCTCTCTCTCTCTCCCCTCTCTCCTCTCTCTCTCTATCTCCCTCTCTCTCTTGCCAGGACAATTCCTATCGCGCTGTAGAAAACCCGTTAATTATGTAGTTAACATAATGTGGGACTATGATCTCGTAAAATGAATTATATTTGAAGTTGATTTTTCTTAATGTCAAAAATAAAAGGTTATCGAAACATATACGATACAATTCTTTTAACCGTTTGTCTAATTCCATCAATCATAGTGTAACATCTACAATGACGTGAGGGCCATTTAAAAAAGAATAACTAATTGATAGGAGATATTGCTCAATTAATTGCCAAAATAACAATCTTAGTTTATCTTCTCAGATATGATAGAATCTCGATCAAATGCAAGGTGTATGGAAATGGATGCGTTAAGTGGATCTTGGTTGAAGGAAGAATGTCAGAACAGGCGTGGATACGTGTGCAAGAAGAAAGGTTCGTGATAAGAAAATTTATATTTCACATTTTATGGTCTCGTCTTCCCTGAATGCTGTGACTGCTTGTGAGTTCGGTAGATTGATCAAGGTGGTCAACTTTATCTCCTAATCATGCTTGCAGGTTTTAACCGTTTTTTATTTTTAATCAAAAATTGAATAAAAATGTCCATTTTGTATACGATGCACGTCCTTATTTAACCGAACATTTTAACTATAGCTACCACAGAATCTAATAATTACTGTATACTTTATCATATCTTTATTATTGCATTTCTTGAAATCTTTCCAATTTTATCACCACCTGTTTTAGGGAACGTTTCCAAAGCTACGCCTATTCCCGTGAATACAACAACAACCCCAACGACTCCAGGTAACACGCAAGAAACGTATGTAAATCATAATAAGAAGTTATACAGAATAAATGGCAACACTAAAAGATGCATAACCTACTTTTTTCCTCACGTGAATTTGAATGTACTTGACACTGCCTAACAAACTATGCTTGGCAGCGTGTTGAAGCAAATATATCAAACATAGTTATCTAAAACGTAACGTGAGAAACTTTAACCCATCAAACCAGCCACGCCATCAATTCCAACAAATAGGGTTATAATAATGTTAAGATATACTGTAAATAGATAAGAACCCTTAAAATCCAGTCATTTTTATATATATGGAAAATGTCATATTCTCTTTACATCATGAGGTTACCCATCATGTAGTGGAGATTGGGCCCGCTTTGGTCGGCATTGTTATAAAACATTTGAAGATCAGAGAACGTGGACTTCTGCAAAGAACACTTGCAGACGACAGGGCGGGGATCTGGTATCAATTTTGAATGAGGATGAGAACAATTTTGTATCTGGCTTTGCTGGTGGGGCACATGGTATGTAATATATGGACTGTAATAAGTAATACAGAGATGTATGATTAAGAATAATAATACGCCTTTTATATAATAAACAGTCTTTCAAAAATACCTGATTCGATATAAAATAATATGGGCACAGTTTTGCGCTCAGTTGGAGAAAAAAATCCAAATAGTTGATAAAGCAGTTTTTCCTTATTCATTTTCTTTCTTTCTTTCTTTCTTTCTTTATTTGTATCATGCAGTCAACCCTGTGGAGGTCTGGACAGGCCTGAACGACCGCCGGATAGTCAACCAATTTGAGTGGACAGACGACAGTACCGTGACCTTCACCCGCTGGCAGTCACGTGAACCGAACAACCATCTAGGGAAGGAACTGTGCGTCAGTCTGTATACAACAGGGACTAACGTAAGTGACTATCAACACATCGGCACCATTTTGTTGACTTTAAACCAAATGACTCATAGGGCTTCAACACACGGTGCTTATTGATTCTGTATGAGCATTTATCTCAAATATTTGATAGGATAAGCAGGTTCCCTTTATTTTTTGTCTGTTTATTTATTTATTTATTTTATTGCTCTTTCATTTAGGCCTACTTATTTTAACATTTTATTTTATTTCTTAAATTTGTTGAGTATGAAGTACACGTCACCTTTATCACGGTGATCGATATTTTGCCGTGAATGCACTTTGTAACGTCCTTTATTTGACTACACAATTAATTATAGTACATGTGCTTACGAAAATATATGTATCACTGATCTTTTCTTGTTTCTAGACAGGGAAATGGCAAGATGCTGATTGTGCTCAATTACTGCCTTATATCTGTAAGAAGCCGGCTACTATAATTACGTCAATGGACAAAGTGCCTCCTGTTTGGCAAAGGGGGTGCTCTGAGTTGTTTCTCCGTATACACAAGACAGGTGCCCTGGGAGTACACAAATCAGAATATGATGAGGTAAATTTTTAATTTGTTTTTAATTTCAATTTTTTTATGTTTTATTTTTTCTGTATTAAAATACAGAAGTCAGCAGCTGTAAGTACGTATGCAAGCGTGGAAGCCTCGTCCGGAATTAACGCCGATATGTTTAACTGGTTTGGTCTAACAGCATTTTGGGAACTGGTTCGGACCGCCTAGGTGGAAGTGATTTGCCTTGATTCCTTTCAGCCTTTGCCTAACGACGTCGTATTCAACCAAGCAATATGCTTACACGCAGTGACGTACACTAAAAAATGTCTTGAATTGATAGTCATAATTTGCCATTTAACTAATCAGTATTATAGCAGCTACAGGCGCATATATGCATTGTGTACTTTGTAAATCTGGAGCTTTGGAAATCTGCACGCACAGATAAAGTTTAGCAAATATCCAAAATTTAAGGCTAGGTTACATTTGCCACGCGATGTGCGTGTACCAGTGTACTGCCAGCATGTTCCGATCCATGCGGCGCCCGCGTGGGAGCAGGCTTCACGATCTGATTTAGAGTCAAACTATTGTTTTTAGAATTGTTAAGGCACCGCCACACTCTAGTGTATAGCACTTACGCATGAGTAAAGAGGGTTATGTTGAAGCGTACACTATTTTTCACTTCTTTCACCGCCAGAACCTTACTGGAGCCAACAGAGGCTCTTGCTATATCGTCTCTGAGAAAGGTGCGAGTTGGTCTGATGCCCGGCACACCTGCAACAGCACCGGTGGAACACTCCTGACGATCAACGACCAGTGAGTAGGCGGTGGTACTGATATTTGATGCGGTTTGTCTACTAGTATCTCTAGCTTCCATGATACAAATATGATACAAATATTGTGCGTCCTTGATTTTACTTTCCATGCAGCCCAAGAGCTAACATTTAAAAGTGTTCAGAGAACGCACAATAGAGCTCGTATTATGTAATATCCCTCTAAATATTGTTTACGGTTAAGACCAATATTGACTTGTTATCTTACCAGACTGGATTATTTATCAGTTGTTTTCATGCTTGTTTGTCACCATTTGGCAATTGGTTTTTAATGTTGGTAATGAAAAATGATGCATTAGAAGTCATAATTAACGTTTTCTCCTAGGGTGGAGCAGGCTTACATATCTGCCAAGCTTAGCAGTATGGTTGCTAATAGCGAATACTGGATAGGCCTAAGTAATGTAAATGATGGGATCTACGTGTGGGATTCGGATACCCGTGTGTTATTCACAAATTGGGACAAAAAGCATACAGGTATTTTAGCTCATGTCCGTGTATATATATATGATGTTTGCCATACAGTGTACGTTAATGTATACGTTCATACATGCACATGCAAGTTTATATGTAGTTTTTACTCTGTATTTAAAGACTACAAATAAGTTCATTCAATGTACGTCTCCTACATATTAAACTACGTGGGTTGTTAATGACATCGTGTCACCCATGTCCTCTCACCAGGCAATGACATAGACAGGTGCGTGGCAATTACCAAAAGTCCTCGCAACACAGGGGAATGGTCTGGCCGAGCATGCTCCGAGACCATTCCTTTTATCTGCGAGTATAGCAGGGGCGACTATGCCACCACGACGCCGGCGCCTACTACGCCGCCTCCAGCCAAGTGTCCAAACCAATATTCCTTCTCGGAGTATGGTGATTTCTGTTACAAGGTATTTGCCAATTGCCAAATATCATCATCATCTGTTTAGTTAAGTTAAATATGTTGGTTTGAATTTTGGCGGTTGTGCCGTGAATCAAATTGACTGACGATAGAGAAACATTGTACGACGCCTTCGCTTTAAGGTTGTATTTCTGTAAGGTTGATAGTAAAGTGTCATCCTAACTTACGTAGTTGCGTGCACAACACTAGCACTTCATTGTTAATACAACATTTGCAGATCTTTACTCACTATGGAGACTTAAGCTAGAAACCTGATAGAGATTCTGTTTTGAAGGACAGAAAGTTGAACAGTGTCTCGGATGCCATTCTCTTTTTTCATTCTAGATGGAGTATCTTCATGGTTTCAGAAAGCGCACGTGGTTCGAGGCAATTGACCACTGCAAGATGCTGGGAGGAGAGCTGGCAAGCTTCCACAGTGAGGCACAGTTGAAAGGGGCAATCAGGACCCAAGCCGGTCGGTAAGCCCTACGTCCTCTAATTGACCAAATTGTGGCTGTGTTTCTCACACCCTTCTTGAAATTATTTGTTTTTCTGTGCGTGTGTTTGCTTGGACATTAACTCCATTAGCTTAGATAAGATTATCCAATTAAACAGCGTAGAAATGTTTATTTCTTTTGCTGCATATTTTATACTTTATCCAAAAAAAAATAACAGCCGGTGTATTAAGTCTCGTGCTATCATAATAGCATAATGCTGTTGCCTAACATGTCCAACTAGTCATTCAATACTTTCTTATGTCAATAATATTAAATGCATTTTGTTTGATAGGTATCGCTGTTTAAGTTTCGAAGCGTAGATTGTCGTTAATGCTATGGGTGTTTTTTCAACGATTACTAAAATATAGGTTTAATTTACCTCTTTGCTCATGACATTTGCCAAATGGTCACACGTTTGTGTATGATTGACTGTGTCAGGTTTTCTAGTTCCGAAATATGAAGGGGATTCAGCAGCAGCGGGAAGAGTTCCAGAGTTGTCTAACTAATTCGCTTCAATTAACCAAGCAATGGGACATAAATGAAAACCGTGTAAAAAACGGCTTCTTTAAGTCATGACACCTGTTTAATTTACAAGCAATTATATTGATATAATACAATAAAAACACCTCATATTTACTTGCCCCTTCTTCGTGTACAATGATAGGCGGGATCCGTATTGGATTGGACTCTCCAGACCAAGCAAGGACAGTGGCTATACCTGGGTGGACAGGACAGCAGTGGACTTTGTGTATTGGGCTGCTGGAGAACCCAATGACCACAATGGACAAGAGAGTTGCGTAGAACTTGACAGGTCAAGCGGCAGGTGGTACGATTCGAACTGCTACGCAAGGAGAAGTATTATTTGCCAGTTTCGAAAAGGTGTGATTTGTCAAAAGATATTGTTTAGCAACAAAATGGCGTAACGACACTAGAAAGCCTCCTTCATGTACATATGTTTGAACACCTTTGTCCATCGTCGTTCATAATTTGCATAAAAATGTATATAAGATATATAAGATCCAATTAATTGCTTTTAATCATATCTACAATTCCTCGATCTGAACTAGTTTTACGTTATATTAAATTATAAAGTTAAAGTTATCTGTTAAACTTCTGCAGGAGATCCGATATACAACACGAAATCAACGATTAGACCAACGCCAGGTAAATGTGTGCTAGTGTACTATGTGTACTATTATGATAGTATGACTTCAGTTTCATATTCACTAATTGAAACTGTGATGTACGTGAAAAAATAAGCTACTGGTCAAGCTTCGATTGAAAATTGATATTACTATAACGATGCTAGCTATTTAATGACTGTATGTTTACTTTGGGGCAGTTGAAATTGAACATGCTCCTAAACTTCTGCATAACGCTTACCTTTCCTTCAAAGCACCACAGTGTGGTTCAGACGAAAAATGGCGAGCTCACAAAGACCACTGTTATTTCCTGAGCTCGGGTTATGGTGTCTGGGACAAAACATGGCATGATGCCAGGAAATATTGTATGCAGAACGGAGGAAACCTTGCCAGCGTTCACGATCTGGACGAAAATAACTTTTTAATGGGAGAGGTAAACCCACAATACATGTATAATATAAAATGTTTATAATAGCCTATTAATAATTCCCTCTATCCTGTTAATGGGAATAAGCGAATATGATTACAGAATGCCACGTTACTTATATCATTCAATTTGTACTAGGCATTAGGTCTACTGTAACTGGTTAATTCAGTCTTCCCTAGTAGTTTATACCACTCCAAATGACAGGGAGTGAAAAGGACTTGCAAGCAGAATATTTTTAAAATGAAGTATTTTTAGGAAAAACACTTTTTTACTTGGTAAAGACTGCTCTTAATGATCCTCATTTTAGACATCAAAGTGGTACCCAAGCGAAAAACTCTACTGGATAGGACTGAATGAGCTAGATTTGGAAAGCTACAAGTAAGATGTATATGCAGCCCAGTCCTGCCTTCTCACTGCCAATTTCACAGTTAAACATCTGTGCGACACTTTCCCTTTCACGATGTAATATAGCACTTTCTTGTCTAGTTACTAATTTTAGCATATTTTGACGCTTAATAATTGATCTTACACTTAATATTATATGTTTCAAAATCTTTAAAATGGATGAAGGCGTAACATTTGACATTTTGTTGAATATTTTGGCATGTAACAATTGAGTAACTTGCTTCTAACGGCTTTTTCGCTTTCGTGATAATGATTTATATAGAGCGTGATAATGACTTATATTTTAATTGTCCATGTTTTGTATCCAACTTAATTTATTGCCCTTCAATAATCAGGTGGTCGGACGGGACCCCTACAAACTTTATTTCTTGGGATGTGGGTGAACCTAATGACTTTGAAGGTGGTGAAAAATGTGTATCATACTATGCACTCACAGGTACAAGTACACTCACAGTTATTGCTAATTGTGAGTTTAATTATTTGTAATCTAAACTAGCTGCACCCGTTTTGTTCCTCATTGACTGACAGATTATCTTTCATTTGGTGTTTTGTATGTCTGAAAGTTCCGTATGCTCGCTGTTTTATGACATAGTCCAGAGTCTGTAAACGCCCACTCCTTGCCATAGATATATAGACGTACGAATGTACCACGAGGGCATTTTCCCATTTTCAGGACATTGGGTAGATGAAAATTGTGGACTAAGACACAAATTCATCTGCAAGAGGCACAAGGACAGCAGCACAACAGCTACCCCGACCCCCACAACCCCCAGGACGGGCACCTGTCCCCCAGGGTTTGAGGGGCCTATTGGTAATGATTGAAACTCATTGAATAGTATCTACCAGGGCCGCAGATTAACTATGTGCACCTACCGCTAACGCGAGACAGAAAAGTACCATGAATTTACAAGTGATATATCTGTGAATATCTAGTAAAATCAGTCTTTGGCCCTGGTAGAGGGTTGTATCTTATACAGGTGTATCTTTAAGTGCATGTCACTTATATTGATAGTCAACTCCTAAGTTTGCTGAGCGGAGGGTTCACTATTGTAAGTTTTTCTCTTTAAAAGCATGAAAAGGGATTTTATGTTTGGCTCAGTTACGTAAGCCAGTTGGGCAGGTATTTGGTTTGTCAGCTAGTCGTTCAGTTAGACATGGAACGGATAATAATGGTAACGACACAATTTTAAATTAGTGTGAGATAGCACCATGATATATTTTATTCAGAAAACAGTTGAAACAGATAACTGTCATCTTCTAGATATTCATGTGCTGTATTTCAGGGAACAAGTGCTACTTTCTACAGGGGACCATAGAAGATTCGAATACGCTAAAGAATTGGTCAAATGCGCTGTCCGCATGCCCGAACAACGCCACTTTGGCCAGTGTGACAAACGCCATGGAAGCGGGTTAGCACTTTGACAACATTCTGTTCATCTTAACAATATGCTATGCCATCCTGCTCGTTAATTCCGATCAGTATTAAGAATAAGATATAAAAAGCCCTTGATGCAATGTCACATCATTCATGATGATTCGGGTATTATTTCACTTTAAGTAGCAATTTTCTAAATGTTATTTTGTAAGTCATAAATTTTAAGCCTTCTTGTGATACTTTTCATGATGCACTTTGCAAACTACAATTAGTTTTTTATAAGGACTGTATGCCAGTGCTCACAGATTCCATTCCATCATTTCAGCCTTTCTAGCTACGCTTTTGAAGGATAAGTTCCCAGTAGATTTCTGGATTGGCCTGAAAAAATACTCCTATCAGAAATATAAGTGGATCGATAACTTTAACGTTGAGTTTGTGTACTGGGATAATGGGGAACCCAGAGGCTGGGTAAGACTGGACTAAATGCGACTTTCCTGCTTGGCATTTAAATAAAATATTAGGAAGATATTTCCTTGTTTACCACTGTGAATGTCTTATTCCAGCGTCGCATTGTTTGTAAAACGGGTCCAATTATATCATTTAAGTACTTTTCGATAAATTAAATCATGTACACTTTATATCTGTTCTAGGATGACTGTATCAGTGTGTCGTCTGCTAGTCTGTCTGCGGGAGGGTGGCGAGTGCGGGATTGCAACCTACGTCTGGGATACGTCTGTCAGGCGTGGATTGGTATAAACTTCACCTATATTCGATCTTGGTCATTATGATTGATACAATTAAAACCTATAAAAGTCAGTAATTTCTATTATTGACTGGGCGGCCACTTATATAACTAAAATTAAAGCAGACGAAAACTTAACTCCAAATTTGAGTTATGTTTGGAAACATGCCCAAAGACATACTTTACGTCATTGTATTCTAGATACGGTTTACCCAACGCCACTGCCCTCTCTGTCACCTTCACACTGCCCGCTAGGCTACAGCTCGTTTGGTGACGCCTGTTACCAGGTGACGTCACATATGACGTGGGAACAGGCCAAGGCCACATGCGAGAGAAGACAAGACACTTTGGTATCGGTCACTGATGGGTTCGAACAAGCCTTTGTTGTGTTGCTAACACAGAAAGAACGGCCGGAGCCCATTTGGTTAGGATTAACTAGAAAGGGGGTAAATATATTTTCGAAAGGGTTCTGTTGTATAATAACCAAGCTATAAAAATGTTTCAAGATGCTTTGAATTTCGAAACCCTAGGGCTTTCCATAGGAAACGATTTGTCCCTAGGAAACGATTTGACCCGATTTAACCCTATGTATTTGCTGGATTCCCTGCTTGTAATTGGTAAGTAATAAGAAGTTATGGACAGGTACCAGTCAATTGCAACTGATGAACTGTCGATTAATATGTTACAGCAATTCGAAACTTTTACTTTTAGGCCATGTATTACTGGCTAGACGGGTGGCCTGTAGATTACATCAACTGGGAAAGTTCTGAGCCCACGCGCGGTGACATGGAAAGGTGTGTTGCCCTTATGCCAAATGGTCGCTGGAACGATACAGACTGTAGTGCGGAAATAAAAGCGGTGTGCAAGAGAACTACGGGTAAGTAGCTGTAAAGGGGACAATGTAATGATACAGTGAAACTGAGCACAATATTACATGTGTGCCGCCTCACACAATGCGTCATAGCCGGCTCTCTTACGATTACCGATTTACATACTTAAAGAATCGTTTTATTCATCTAGGACTGTCCGTAGAAACTGATACAATAAAGTTAACCACTGAAAAGTGACATTATATACTGAGAATTAAAGGGAAAAAAATCTTCATATGAGATTCAATAAAAACGTTGCAAACAACACATACAAATTTAATAAATTCCATTTCACCACCAACGTGGCAGTTATCACAATTATTCTGAAATCTGCGCTTGCCATCAGGCCAAGATGACAAAAGACGGCTACCCTCCGTAATATTCTGTAAAAAGATCATACTTACTTTATTCCATGTATGGTAAAATATTGACAAATACATTTCACACAGTGCACGTGTCATTTCAGCCACGGCCCCTTCAACGGTAGTCAATCCCCCTGGAACGTGTTTTGACGACAAGCACTGGTTTGGATTTGGTGCCTACTGCTACTTGATTGACGGGAAAAAGTTCGGAGGATGGGCCACAGCGAATTTCGACTGTTACAAACATGGTGCCTCGCTGGCCTCAGTTGAAAGCCAGGCTGAGATGGATTTCCTTATGAAAATGATCACGCAAGAACGAGCTAATAGCCGTGACTTATGGCTTGGGCTGTGGAGAAAGCCTGATGGTATGGTCAATCTACTTTGTTTGTCTCTGAGCCAAATTTTCTTCGTTTGATCGGCTGGTTGGTTGAACATATACATTTAGTTCGACTTAAAATTGTTTGCTTGCAGGCTTCTTTGCTGGAAACGACAGACGGATAGAGGCTCAGTTGATTGCTCGTTTGTTAGTCTGTTCAGTATCTCTAGAACATTTATTCGACGGTCAGAGGACAAGAGGGTCGGTCGATAATTGGCGGTTCCATCGGCCGACCCGCTGTCTTGCTGTTTAGTTTGGTTGTCTTGTGAGTTTTTTAACGTACGGTTGAACGAAAAGCTGGCCTGACGGCAAATTAACTAACGTCAGTTCATTCGTTTGCTCATTCGTTCGAACCAGATAGATGGTCAGCCGATTGGTCTGTTGGTCTCTGGACAGCCAGTTGCAAGATCACTGATACATGTATCCTTTTCCCTTTTATTCTATGAGCTCTATTATATTAGCTCTATTTTACCAACATAAAATTATTTTAATTGCATAAACATAAAAACGGGACAATACACAAAGTGTATGAACAAGTTAACAGGATGATTTTCTGCATTTTTTTAATTCCAGGATCTTTCGTCTGGCACGACAAAACACCGTTCAATTACGCGAACTGGCTTGACGGAGAGCCGTCTACGGAGGCCCGTAAAGAGTGCGTACAAATGAGTCCCGAGACAGGAAAGTGGAAAGTATATTATTGCGCATATTCCGCTGGGTACATATGCAAAATGCCAAAAGGTAGCCGGGATTTCCAACCATTGTTTTTTGTGATACCGTATTTTTATGTTATTGTTTTCATAAATGAAAATAATTTCAATATGCATATAAAGTACCAGTTTACAATCTTTGTCAAAGAATGCAGGTATATTAGAAAACTTATAGAGTAAAACTGTGCGTTGAAGGTTTTGGAAATTATTTCACACAAAGTTGCCAGGATATAGTGATTTATAACGGTTGATCAAAATTATTTATTATGGAGGACGGTATCTGCAAAAAAAGCTAAAAAGAAACGCATTCAAAAATAAATGTAAATTTACATCTGCGATACCGGCAAACAGCACGAAAAAACATTTCAATTCTTTTTTAACCTTGAATCTGCTACTGACTTTGATCCTTTTGCTGACCTTGCACCCTAATATTTCCAGTGCCTCCTACGACCACCCCAGCTCCGGCTTGCAGGGACGGGTGGTACATTAGAGATTTTACATGTTATAAGGTATGGTATTGTCTAGATCCGGTCAGTGCACACTGTAAGTGAGTTGCAGGTAATGACCAAAATGATGGTAAAATCGGGGGATACGGGGAAGGTGGCAGTAAAATATTGTATGGTTTTATGCAGATAGAGTATACCCGTTGAAAATTGCAATTGCAGGCAATGGTTGTTTTACTTAATCGTCACAATTGGTTCTGTGGTGTTTCTGTCATTTTGTTTTGTTAGAAGATAGCTCTTGGTCATATGTTAAAAAGGACATATTATACTCTTTTATGCCGTTAGAATTGATATACAGGGTGCTTCCTAAAGATGCATTTTAATACAGTTATACAGATTACAGTGAGTGTGAAAACATTGTTTAAATATAAGACACTATAAATGTAAATGACCCATGAATAGTACGTATGAAGTTACTTCATGTGCACGGTTCATTTAAACGTTATTGTCTGGTCCACGGGGTGACCTTTGGTACGGTGTTCTGAGAGAGTCAAAATGAAAAAAAAATAATAATAATAAAATACGTACCACGTGTGAGAACGTATTTCAGGGCTTCTTCACGTCTGGCCAGTACATGAAATCATGGACAGAGGCACGAAGTTATTGCCGAGCTGAAGGAGGTGACCTGGCCAGTTTTCACAGCGACGAGGAGAGGAACTGGTTTATGAGTTCTATAGGATATTACTATAAGTAAGCAATCACATTTCCATATATTTTGATTTACATTGAATTAAATTTTCTGAAGTTTATACGGCCAATATATAACATTGATCTTACATTCAAACAATTTTGAATATTTCCACCAGACTCCATGTGGCATAAGTGATTTGATTTTCCCCTTTACCCTACCAAATAACAGAAGGTGAAATGTATAAAGTACGATTTAGCGAGGAAAAATTCGCAATTATAGCTTTTATGATACATGGTGCAGTCTCAAGAATTTCTATGCATACAAAAACATATTTGTAGATACTCGGTGAATAAAAGAAACGTGTGGATTGGATACCATTTAGAAGAAGACAGCACAGGTAAGTGGACGATGTTAAATGATACTTTCTATATAATGTACCTTGAACTTCCAACGTCTGGCATTTCTTTGTTTGTGTGTGTGTGTATGTTTTTTTTTTTTTTTTTTTTGTTTTTTTTTTTGTATTTAAAAAATGGTTACATTAACTGTTTAAAGTTTGATAATGATTTACATTTTTTGTAATTGATTACGATATATGTTTGGTAAGTTCTCAAAGTAATGCGCTCCAAGATTTTTTGACAAAATTTTTGCTGCTTTTGGAAAGCGTAAAATAGCATCTGAACATCTGTAGATTTAAAATGTTATCACATATCAGTCAATAAAAATCGTCTTCAGTATCTCACACGTGGTCCGACGGAACTAAGAGCAACTACACCAGCTGGGATGTGGGACAGCCAGACAACCACAACGGCCGCGAGAGGTGCGTCAGTTTCCACCCCCTCACAGGGAAATGGCGCGACGATGACTGCGCCACCGCCAGGGGATGGATATGCAAGGTACCATATGACGCCACCCCACTGCCTAGTACAACCACACCGACAGGCACTGGTAAGCACGATAAAGGCACACTCATGTATTGCTGTTATGTTGTAGCACTCTTTATAGACACCAAAGACCGTGATCATGATCAAGAAGACAATAAAGAGCCAACATAATACCCCTTCCCTGAATCTTCGTACAGTACCGACGACAAAGCCATCATAATCAATAAATATGTGACATTGTAATATTATTAAAATGATGCAAATATTGCACAATGCTTTAGAAATGTGACGATAGCATTCGGGCACTTTGTCGTCACTGCGTAGAATGTCACGTTTATATATTCTGCTATCAGCAGAGAAAATTTCACATATTTCTTTCAAAGGGCAACAGCTGAAGGGTATGTTTAGTAAATAAGAGGCATATTCTTGCAATATGCAAAACCAGATTTCGTATAATTATCCGCAATCATAGTGAGTAATATTACTTTATTTGATGCATATATAAATAGCCATGAAATGGAAGTATCATTTTTCTTTCTTCAAATCCATCAAATTGCGCCTAGCATTGCACATTTTCTGGCGACCCTTTCAACATTATTTCAGGTGGTCATAATAGTTTAATGAATATTCATTTTTTTTCATTTCATCGCTATATTAAGACACTGCTAATTGCGGAGACAAGTGGAGGTCCTTTGGAGACCACTGTTACTTCTATGGCGATTACACAGAGAGTTCCTTCAGCAAATCTTGGTTCTATTCCCGCCAGTGGTGTCTTGAGAACGCTGGTGATTTACTGAGCATTCACACCCCAGAAGAGGCAAACTTCATCACCACTTTGATCAGCAAAAGTGCTCACCTTAAGTTATGGATTGGAGCCAGCGATTTTAATCTCCAGGGATATGCGTATGGGATCCTGTCTTATGTCTTGATCAAACAAATGTGTTTTGAAAATTTAATGAATGTATTTCATAAATATAGGCTGTTTTTGTTGCCTTAATGTTGGTTTCGTGAGAAGAGCTTGGACCTCTGGTTTAAATATGTAGCGTAAAAGTAGTATTTACTTTGTAACTGATTGTTGTTTCATGGCTAATTTATATAATTATAGCTATTGATTTTATTGATTTTTTTTCCTTATTTGGTCATTTCTTACCAGAAGCATACACACCTTTACCTCCAATGTTCCAGGTGGACAGATGGAACCCCGATGAATTATGTGAATTGGGCTAAAAACGAACCCAACTCTCAATACGGGGATGAGAGATGTGTTAGTATATATTCAGGAAAAGATACCTCACAGGCCGGTAAGTGGCGTTTCACTTGAAATCCATAAAAGAAAACTTAAGAAGAATGGCTTTAACTGATTTTGTTCCTGGCTCTGAGTAGTACAAGCTATTTCGTGGAATGTGGCCAGGAGTAGATAGAACGGTTTATCTTTTGCAAAACGCATGCGAGGGGGAGTGGTGAAAGTAATAAAACTACCCGTAGCTTCTTGAAATAATTTGACCAGGGTAAATAACGTTTTTCTACTTTACGCTTGCCCCCCCCCCTCCCCGTCAGCCCCCTTTCACCCCCTCAAATCCTCTAGTAATTATATAGCTGTCGAAGTCTATGTAATATGTTATCTGTTCTGGTGATGTTTTCAGGAATGTTCAATGATGAAAACTGTGGTAACTCACTGCCTTTTATCTGCAAGAAACACAAAGACAGCAGCACCCCAGTAACATTAACAACAACGCCCTCAGTGCAGGGGTATTGTCCACTCGGTTTCGAGGGCATAGGTCTGTATTTCTATTTTTTTCTTTTTTGACGTCAATGACAAAAAAACCAATAAAATGTCTTTATATTTGTTTCCTCAGACTGCCATCGTGATTTTGAATCCTGAAACCTGCGTTTCACTACTGTTGTAAAGACTATAAAAGCATCTCTGTGACTTGAAAATATTTTATGATTTGCTTGCTTCTTTTTTTCAAAAGACGTAGGGCGTATATGCTGTCATCGTTGCTTTTGATACTCAAAAAGTATAAATTAAAATATCACACATGGCAGGTAACAGGTGCTATAAGTTTATTGGTGAGGTGGCTACGGACCGGAAGAACTGGGTGGATGCCAAAGTAGCATGCGCAGCTTTGGGTGACCGATATTCATTGGCCAGTATAACCAACCCCATGGAACAAGGTAAGAAGAGGGGCAAATATGATGACAAATTCATGCAAAACTGGACCATGCATCAAATTTGGCAATATCAGGACTCTTTTGGCGATTTTTCTTAAACATTTGTATACGCATTTGCCGTATCTTACATGCTTTGTATTTTTTATTTGCGTCAAAAAACAACTCTAGCCAACAGAAAAAAGTTTCAGTCCAATATGTGTTAATTGCTCTTTTTACATTTGCTTTTTATTGCAGCTTTTATAACAAGTAAACTGCAGGTGAAAGAGACAGATTACTGGATAGGACTGAGTGATTATTACAGAATGCATTTCTTTACTTGGCAAACCAACGAACAGTTGGAATACACCAACTGGGATGACAACGAGCCGGCTGCAGCCTGGAGCGTATGTTGACTTTCTTCAGTGCATGCTTTTGGTTGATCGAGTAATGAAAGCTGATAAAAGTCAAGCTTATCTTTAATATTAACACTGTATTAACACTGTATTAACACGCAATGGCGTGGCTATGTGACAGGAATGGTAGCTGGTATATCAACACTATGTCAGCACTTTCTACAGGTGATATTTATGTCATATATACCCCCTGTGCTACCTCCGATACTTCCAGGTAACCCCCCACCTGCACCTATCATATTGGACTACCGTTTCGGTTATAATGGGTGTTTCACTTCAATAACAAAATGGATATCGTCCGGTACACATGTTAATTTTAGAGACATTTGTATAGGCATTTCTTTTGCTGTAGCGTTTGTTCGATTTTTTTGTTTTGTTTATATAGTCTATGCATTCGTTGTCAAGATATCTGAGGGACTGCAACAAACGCATCGTGCGTTACAATTCATATTTTGTTTTAAGGCTTAATTGTTACAAGTTTTACGAGTTAGTGTTATCTATTTTCAAGTTTAACAGCGAGGACTGCGTGAAAGTGAGCTCAGCCATGAACACTCTAGGAAAGTGGGCCGACGTTAAATGCTCCACTGTATTGGGATATATCTGCCAAACCTGGAAAGGTAATTTGATCATACATAGCGGGTGCACAAAAATAAAAAAAAATGAAAAAAGTAATTACCTACTCAAAATTCGATTTCCCAAACACAATTGCCCATAATTGTTTCAAGGAAATTGCATTTGGTGTTACTGCCAAGTATATTCTGTAATATAAAAGGATTTGATTAAAAAGCTATTTGATATCCATTGCAAAAACAAGTCCAAATACACAGGTCTAGAACTGTTCATGTTCTTGTGCGATCGCCGTCCTCCATCTTGCCTTTGAAACAAATGTCAGTATAGACCTGAACGCCAGACACATACCCAGAAGTGCACATTTCACTGAAGTTTACAACTTAATTATCTCTATAAGCATAACTTCATTTGAAAGGAAAGAAGAAAAAATGCGTCTTTGAAAAGGAGACCACTTTGTTTTGCTTGGTAATTAGTATTACATTAAACTGGAGTCACTGCACGACCAAGAATAGAAATATGTCTTCCAGATCCCAGTATTTCGACCCCTTGGACCACGCCGCCAGCACCTACCTCAAGCGTATGTAAGCCTGATTACTATTCTTTTGATGGCAAGACGTGTTACAAACTCTACTTAATGGAGAAAACGTGGCAAGAGGCCCAAGAACAGTGCGTTAGTGACGGTGCTTTCTTACCCTATGTGGCCGACGCGGTAATTGAGGCAAACTTGCTGGTCGCCATGATGCTGACTGGCAACAGGCCTATTTGGATTGGACTGAGAGATATGGGTTGGGTGAGTTAAATCTAAAGAATAAGAAACGTGAATTTTATCGATGGGTGGGCTGGACAAGTTAATATTGGCGTACGTACCACAGCCCTCTGTAAATTTACCTGAGATATTCGGGTTGGAGAAGTCTTTTTCGACCGGTGTCTTCCTCTGTTCAGTAAAATTGGACATATTTGTGAAAAAACTCATCTCACGCCACTTAATTTTTTTACCATATGTTATGTCTTTATTTAATTCAATCACAAGCACGTCCACAACTCTAAAATCGTGTTACATTCAAATTTACCGGGTTGGAATTTAAAAACGAGAGCCCTTTATCTTTTTCGAAGGAGTCTTATAAATGGGTAAACGACTGGCCAATGACGTACACTAATTGGGATGAAAATGAGCCCAAAGTTGGAGGAGAGGTGACCTGTGTTATTATTAACTCGGCGGGATCATGGAGGAATCTGAACTGTATGAAGCCACAACATTTCGTTTGTATGACCACTACCGGTAAGCGAATCAACTGTATAAATTGCATTAACTTGCGACAATTTTCATGGAATTTCTCGGTATCTAGTTCGAAGTATTTATGTATCAATTTGAAATAGGCCTTCTGCAGTGCCGTGAGTAAAAGTTTTAGCTTATCCTTTCGTCTGACCGTGTATGGTTTCCATTCTGTTAAAAGTAGTTACAATTTCATCATTCTTGTGCGTATTGATCCGTACCACTTCCATTTATTTGCTTTTCCTTTATTCGTTTATTTCTGAATAGAAATTTAATATTGATTTATAATAGTGGAATATTGCCAGAAGATTCTTTTCACCCGTGGGTTTACTTTGAGTAATTCTATGGGTATATTTGGTAAAGAGGGGTCATGAACCACTAGTCAGACCAATGGGCGTACATGTATGTTATTTGGTTCTCTATTTGTTTAGTTTTCTCTTTGTTTTTTACCTTCATATTTTACCATTCCTTTTATGTTTGCTTCAGAAACGCCCACCACACCAACAGAGCCGTCCCCGGGGTGGTGCCCCCCAGGGGGTGAATGGTTGGAATACGGCACCTATTGCTTCTGTCCCAACTCAGAGGCATTTAAAAACTGGGCTGAGGCAAGCTTTGAATGCTACAAGAAAGGTAGCCAACTTGCTTCTTTTGCCAGCCAGGATGAAATCGATTTTATTCTGGGGAGCATAACGAACGAATACAGACCGAATAATATGTGGATCGGACTAGTGAAAAGGAGAAACGGTAGGCAATTATGCTGTTTGTTTACCATTGAAATTTGCCATGTAACAATCACATTAAATCGAAGACCTTGCAGTGGGTATTGTATAACCAAAAATAAGGTAACATACAGAGAGTGAATTTGGGTAAATGCGTTTTACATAGCTCATTCTGTATCGTGATGAGCTTGGAGAACAGGCCCGTAGCCAGGGGGGTTCGGGGGGTTCGAAAGAACCGCCCCTTTTGTTGGGAAAAGGTCCACTTTGGTTAAAATTTGACCTAGGTACATGAAGTTTTTATTGGAAAAGGTCCACTTTTTCAAAAAAAAAAAGAACCCCCTTTTGAAATTGCTGGCTACGGGCCTGGAGAATATGACGTGCGTCATGCAAAATTATAGTGTCATCATTCAAAAGTTTCAATATCTAAACGGTCATCTGTCAAACTACTGAGAACAATATAGTCTAGTGTAATTAGTTATTTGATATAACATCGAAGTGAAGAAAAGTACAAATGTATACCTGCAGCAAGCATTGGTACCCATGTTCTAACTGATCTTCATCTAGATACCTTCAAATGGTTTGACGGCACATCTCTGAGTTTCACTAATTGGGGCGAAGGGGAGCCAAGTAACTCTGGAAACAAAGAGAATTGCGTGGAACTTTTGGCGGACTCGGGGAAGTGGAATGACAACCGATGTGACAGGAGCAAGGGGTTTATTTGTAAAATGAACAAAAGTAAGCTCTGGTCAGTTATCAAGTTGAATATTATACTCTGAAACAATAGGCGTATTGATCTGTAAAAAAACTTCCTACATTTAGCCCGGTTTTTTATATCTAGTAATGTTTTTCAAAACCGAAAAAAAATTGTTAATGCAAAAAGCAGATTTTGTTCTGTTTTCACATTAAAACAAGATTTGGAGTATAACTAGTCCTAAATGTTGTCCTTGCAGTAATGCCGACCTCCGCAGAGGCTAGTTCACCCAGAACACAATCAGGGTCTTATCTACCGCAATCAACGCAGTCTGTGGGCACTGTGAGGCCTGCTGAGCCAGCAGGGAGAGGCTCCGGGAGAAAGATAAAAGATAATGGCAGTGGTAAGATAAAAATGATTACAGGAAATTTAATGCGATGGACATTGGGAAAGAAATGAGAATGTTATAATACGGCAGCCCAGCAAACTATATCACTCTGACAGAACAGTAACATGGGGCAACCTTACACAAAACATATTTCTATACCAGTAGTATTTTCTGATAGTTGAACTCTGCAGATGGGGGAAACCTAGATTAACTAGGCGAGGATATGATGTGTAACCTAAATTGGTGGTCTAGTTTTCTAACAAAGATAAAGTATTTCATATCATTACAAATGTTAAAACCCTTTTGTATTCCCAAATGCAACTTCAAAAAATTTGAGTGACCCGTGTACCATGTCCAGTATGTATAAATGGACCAGCGTATACATAATGATGAAATTTATGAGTCACAGATCGACTTTCATCAGAAGCACCAGCTTATAAATTGCTTAAATGATTTCGCAAAGAAACATAGAATTTTATCGTCATTTTAAATGAACTCCTTTGTCTTCTCCAGGTGATGTCTTAACAGGCGGTAACATAGCTGGTCTAGTTGTCCTCTGCGTCATCATCGCAGCCCTTCTTGTGACCATAGGTGGCATAGTGCTTAAGCGACACCGTTCCTCTTTCTCCGTGGCCGACATTACTTACGTGACACGTGACGCTGATAAAGCCGAGGACAGATCTAGTAGTATTGAGAACCCGATGTACGATATGTTTGATTTTGAGGAGTCGGTGAAGTTATAACGTTACAGTGATGAGATACCGGAACTGCCAGTACACACTAATGTTTTCTTTATGGAAACAATTTTTTTTTGTTGTGTTTGTTATGGATGGTGTTGGAAAATGTGTCAAATTTAGAATTTGATTTAGATTGGATTGGAATTCTAAAGCCTCAGGCCCGTAGCCAGCAATTTCAAAAAGAGATCCTTTTTCTGGAAAAGTGGACTTTTTACTATAAAACCTTCATGTACCTAGATCAAGTTTTACCCAGAGCAGACCTTTTCACATATAGAGCGGTGTTTTCAACCGCCCCCCTCCAACCCCGCTTGGCTGTTTTCAAAGACGATATATATGTACGAATCTTCAATTTTATACATGCATGTTGTAAGTAAATGTGGTCGATTTATATGAAAATATTGACATTGTACCTGAATTTCTTTCTCGAAAACAGGAAAAGTGATTAAAAAGAGCAATGTCCCCACAGTAAACCAAGTGTATGATTTTCTCAACCTGAAGTTTAAAAGCATTGTGAAGCTGTGTCCACACCACTGCTAATTTAGAATAGAAGGTCAGATACTGAAACAACATCTCGCGTTTTTTTAAACATTTTTTTTTATTTTTCTGTTTAAATCAAAAGTAG